TGTTCAGTGTTGTGTTGTGTGTGATTGTTAGTGTCATGTCGTGTACTCGCTCTTTGTTGTGCTCTTGCTCAGTGTTAAGTAAACCTTTACATTGTTAATTCCTGCGTCTGCGTCCTGCCTTTTCGTATCCTCAGTACTCGTCACAATCAGTCTTGCAAATTGATACTTTATTGGCCCACTGCATTGCTTTTAGAAGATTTCACACAAACCTTAATGTGTGATAAATTCAGCAATTCATTCATTGTTAGTGAGTGGCGCAGTGGTCTAAGGCACTGCATCACAGTGCTAACTGTGCCACTAGAGATCCTGGTTCGAATCCAGTCTCTGTCGCAGCCGGCCGCGACCGGGAGACTCATGGGCGGCGCACAATTGGCCCAGCGTCGTCCAGGGTAGGGGAGGGAATGGCCGGCAGGGATGTAGCTCAGTTGATAGAGCATGGCGTTTGCAACGCCAGGGTTGTAGGTTTGATTCCCACGGGGGGCCAGTATAAAACAACAAAAAAATGTATTCACTAACTGTAAGTTGCTCTGGATAAGAGTGTCTGCTAAATGACTAAAATGTAAAAATTTTAACTTCATGCGTCACGAGTGTATTTGAAGCACTTCCTTTTTTATAATAATCTGCATTTTATGTCAAGGTTTGTTTAGTCAATAACTGTTCACGTCTGCATGTTTGCCTTGGCTTGGGGGGGCTTTATGTATTGGGTTATGCAAATAGGATTCCTACCTTCTATTTTGGGGCCTGGTTTCTCATCTTGCCATTGAGCTGAAATGACTGGCAAGAGCATCAACAACTAATACCGAAAAACACTGCTTTTATGCTTATTTCCAGCTAATATTCTATGGTAGTTGTAGCATACTGTAGCGTTCATCTAAGAGTATGGTTCTCTGTTCACAGTTATAGGCCTTAAAGGGGAAACGTATCCTTTCTCCTTCTGCAAAGGGTGAACATTAGCAAGTTTCCATTTAATTTATTTCATGGAATGTGGAATGACACAGTTGTTATTGTCATGTACATATACAGCAATGATCCGTGTTCATGAGTAAGTTCCCATTTAACATTGACTGGAATTGCTATAATTAAAGCCAGTGTGTTAGTGAGAAGTATCACGCCTATGTATCAAGTCCCCCACTCACTCATGTGAAGTAGTGCTACAGCGTTGACTGGTAATGGCAAAACTGTTTGTTGTTGGTGTTCTTCACCATGTGTTGTCCCAGTGAGACACTCAGCAATTAGTCTGTCTCTGGGGACAGCCAGGATGTCTTTGGGAGAGAGGGCCTGACTGTGCTAGAGGCCTGCTCTGTTAGTGTGTATGGTCTCGTTTCCACTGTCTGGCCTCCGGGAAGGTGTCAGAGGAAGCTGCACTCTGTCCCTAGGAGCTCGAGACCCCGGGGCAACTGTGTGTGCGTGCAGTTATTGCACTATTACAGGACACAAAATACTTGTGTTATTTTCTAATCTATAGACTACCACAGGCCTTTTCCTGGTCTTGAGTACCATGGTCTCTTGAGTGTCAAAAAGTGATTGGATTCCATCCCATAGTGTGTGTACAAAGATAATTGGAAATTAAAACCATAACATTTGCTCTACATCCCAAGGCAATGTACATTCTCAATGACACTCCAATGGTTTTACAGAGAGTGAAACTCAGGTACATTGCTCTCTAACTTGACTGTTATGAGACTGTTTGAGACCTCGAGTGGCGGTTGTCATACGGACTGCATTTTCCAAAATTAGCTGGCATTAGGCATGTGCAGGTTTACTGGGTGTGTTGTTGGTGGTTTGAGAGGGGGGGGGCTTGGTCTGTGGTGTGTAATTCTGAGAGAAAGGAACTTTCTGTAAACCCCAATGTGATAAAGATCTCCTACTTCCCTCTACTGTCTTCATTTACATCTGAGGCGAGATGCTCTCTTCTGCAGAAGAAAATGTAGTCATGTACAGTTTCCCTCTCAGTTGCAGAAAACTATAGTATTTTTTATTCAGTACAATGCAAGGTGATGCAATCATAATTGGTGCAGTCATTTGGAGTGTTCTTGGTGGACCTCTAGTTTGTGCAATCCAATAGCTGAGCAGTTACAACTATTTTGGCCCAGTATCTGTTACTAGGTCGCTGCACTATAGATTTATGAGACTTGTCTACTTTCCAATTCTGCCAGTCTTAATAAAGCACTATTATTCAGAGAAGTTTCAGTAATCGAAAATTGAGTGGATGGATCATTTTCAACACATTGATTGATTCTGTTCTATTTTACAGTTTGAGGTGTAAGTGTCTTGTCTTAGAGGCTAAGTCCAGTGGATACTTTATAAGGTAATGATAGGGGCACAGAGGTGGATTCCTCAGAAATGCCCTGAATGCCTGTGTGCAAGCGTGGGCGAGGGGGCAGTGGGCACTCTGGGGGTCGTGGGAACACCGGCACCATATCCGGTCACTCACCATTTGGATGTGGCTTCTAAATATAGAGGTCATACATGTCCAATATGAGAGGGAAATTAGGGGAATACTCCTCTGGGCTTTGCATCAGTAGAGACAGTACAGTACAGTCAGCTACTGCCAGCTGGGGATAGGGACGCAGAGAGTTGTAGTAGACCTAACTTTCTGATCTCAACAATGTACTTATCTTACGTGTAAAGTTTTTATGATATATTGTGGAGACATATTGTTATCATACTTGGCAGTAAGCAGAAGTGCAATGTAATTTATAAATGTGACATTCTTGATCTTGAGCTGTATATTGTATTGTTTACAACACAATCAAATACAGTGCCTTCAAAAAGTATTCACACCCCTTAACCTTTTCCACATTTTATTGTGTTAAAGCCTGAATTTGTGTCACTTGCCTAAAAACAATACCCCATAATATCAAATTTTGTTTTTAGAAATGTTTACAAATTAATTTAAAATGAAAAGCTGAAATTCTTTGAGTCAATAAGTATTCAACACTTTGTTATGGCAAGGTAAGTTAAGTAGTACACATGTGCTTAACAAGTCCCATAATAAATTGCATGGACTCACTCTGTGTGCAATAATAGTGTTTAACATGATTTTTGAATGACTACCTCATCTCTGTACCCCACACATACAATTATCTGTAAGGTCCAACAGTCGAGCAGTGAATTTCAAACACAGATTTAACCACAAAGACCAGGGAGGTTTCCCAATGCCTCACAAAGAAGATAAAACAAAAATAAAAAAATAAAAAGCAGACATTGAATATCCCTTTTGAGCATGGTGAAGTTATTAATTACACTTTGGGTGGTGTATCAATGCACCCAGTCACTACAAAGATACAGGCGTCCTTCCTAACTCAGTTGCCGGAGAGGAAGGAAACCGCTCAGGGATTTTACCATGAGGCCAATGGTGATTTTAAAATAGTTACAGAGTTTAATGGCTGTGATAGGAGAAAACTGAGGATGGATCAATAACATTGTAGTTACTTCACAATACTAACCTAAATGAAAAGAAGGAAGCCTGTACAGCCTGTTTTCAATAAGGCACTAAAGTAAAACTACAAAAAAATGAGTACCACTCTTCATATTTTCAAGCATGGTGGTGGCTGCATCATGTTATGGGTATGCTTGTCATCGGCAAAGACTAGGGAGTTTTTTAGGATAAAAAGAAACAGAATAGAGCACAGGCAAAATCCTATAGGAAAACCTGGTTCAGTCTGCTTTCAAACAGACACTGGGAGACAAATTCACCTTTCAGCAGGACAATAACCTAAAACACAAGGCCAAATCTGTAAGGAGTTGCTTACCAAGACGACATTGAATGTTCCTGAGTGGCCTAGTTACAGTTTTGACTTAAATCTGCTTGTAAATCTATGGCAAGACTTGAAAATGGCTGTCTAGCAATGATAAACAACCAACTTGACAGAGCTTGAAGAATTATTTTAATAATAATGTGCAAATATTATGCAATCCAGGTTTGCAAAGCTCCTAGAGACTTACCCAGAAAGACTCACCGCTGTAATCGCTGCCAAAGGTGATTCTAAGATATATTAGTGTATATATATATATATTTTTTTTTTATGTTAGAATTTCTCTTACAGTTTGACATTACAGAGTATTTTGTGTAAATCGTTGACAAAAATTACAATTAAATCCATTTTAATCCCACTTTGTAACACAACAAAATGTGGAAAAAGTCAAGGGGTGTGAATACTTTCTGAAAGCACTGTACAAACATTCACTTATTTTCACTTGAAACAAAACTTTAGATCACTAGTCTTCTCAATCCCAACTGTCATTTTCAGCCCTACCACTCAGTGGGCTGCCCTTGGTGAACTCTATTACGTCCACATGACCAGGCCTGCCCGTATCTCTCTACCATATTCTTTTCTGAAATGAACATGGGAGAAGAGGGGGTGGTGTAGAACTTTCCCTTTTCTAAAACACACTATTTTTCTTCCGCTGGTTTCACCAGGGCCTGTTGTACCTTACAAGCTGTCTGGTGTATATTTGTAACCCTGCTAGCTCTGATCCGGGGTTAACGCAGACTGAGGGGGTGTCAGCGCGGGCCTGCTCTAACTTTATCCCCCATCGCCTCATCAGGGTATAAATAAACAGGCTGCCATGACAAGGGGGAAGGGTGGGACTTACGTCGCTTAAACAAAACAGATGCCATTTTCCCATCAGAATTGTCTCAAGGTTAAGACCCATACTGTACAGTGGTTGGTGCTCTTATTTTGATAAGGTTGAGTGACACCACTGTGTATGGGCCTAACCGTTACACTGTTTATGAAGTGGTCAGGGGTCTCAACCATATGGTTTGCTTATGTAATGGGATGTTGATGTTGCCATGAGATCTACATGAGAGTATTTATCTCAGTGGGATATCCTGATGAAATAAAGTTAACGTAAATAATCGTTTTCATTACTAGGATGACATTTACGTGCTGTGCTGAAAAGGTGATGAGTTCAAATGATCAAGTTTTTATTTATTTTTAAGATCTCTTTTCACAGTGTTAAGCCACCTGTCAGACACGCAGACCGTAAACACAATGGGAAGGAAAAAAATACAAATCTCTCGTATCCTGGACCAGCGGAATCGACAGGTACAACTCTTTAATTATTCTCGATCACGTTTGATTGATTGTTACATTTGACAAGGTATAGTTAAACAGTCACAGACAAAATAATACACGAACCAATATATTTCTGTTCCCAGGTGACGTTCACCAAGCGTAAGTTTGGCCTGATGAAGAAGGCGTATGAGCTGAGCGTGCTGTGCGACTGTGAGATCGCCCTCATCATCTTCAACAGCACCAACCGTCTGTTCCAGTACGCCAGCACCGACATGGACAAGGTCCTGCTCAAGTATACAGAGTACAGCGAGCCTCACGAAAGCAGGACCAACACAGACATACTGGAGGTATAAATATATTACTAGCTCCACACATTACTCAACAGGTTCTCCTATATGTATAGTAATTTGTTGCATAATTATATCCAAGGTTCCAATTACATTCATTCCCAAAAAAGACACACTGTTGAGAGTGCTTTGACATTTGAATGTGTACATTTATGAAATGCTTACCTGGGCACCCCCATAAAGCATTGAAAAAACAATGTTGGTACAGCCCACTTCTGTATTGTTAGGACATCCCCAAGAGTCAATAGTTTAAACGTGCTGTAGTATGAAGTATCCTTGAGGTAATGTTTGTGTGCTGCTCTTTTCTCTGTCCTGCTGCTGTAGACTCTGCGGAGGAAGGGACTGGGCCTGGGCCTGGACGGGACAGAGCTGCTGGACACTGAGGAGCCCATGCAGTTGGCAGCAGAGAAGTACGGCCCACTCAGCGAGGGCATGGACCTCTCCCTGGCCCGCCAGCGCTACTATGTTAGTACTCACACTGGTCTTATCAGACACATGCTGTCTGAGCCAAAGGCTGTACATGAACTAAAGATGTTTCATTGATTTATTTTATTCTGTGAAGAATGCCTCAGTTTGAAAAAAGGATTCTATTGAACGGTCAAACCATTCATTTGACTCAGTGAGCACATTTTGTACTCATAGAGACACTTTAGCTCTGCAATGCAGCTGCAATAGACCTAACTTTCAAATCTTAACTCAAACAGACACTCTCTCATATTTCTCCTCAGGCCCCCTCCTTACACTCACCAGAGGCCCAATTCCTGGCGTCTGCCGGCTGTGAGAATGGATACCCTAACTCGTCCAACTCCAGCCCGAGCTCCCACAGACCCCCGGCCTTCAAGCCCCTAGGCGCTAGACCAGGCTCAGCCAGCTCTGCAGGGCCCCACTGCCATGCTGCCTTCATGTCCCCACACTCAGGTGACCTGGCCCCCTAGTTCCTCTTTGCAAACATTCCTAGAGGGTTAGAGGTACCATTCTTGACATGATTTGCCTACAGAATGGATGGCATGGACGAGTGTCCACGAGTGTGAGGCCACCTCAGTGCTGTGCAGCCGGCTGTGCACACAGGAAGTGAGTGTGTGTGTGTGTGTGTGTGCTGTGTGAAACAGTCCCCCCCACAAGTGAAACAGCGTCTGGCGGCTGATCTGTGGTTTCTGAGCAGTGAGTGTTTTGCACCTGCTGGTCATCTCAGCTCAGCTCAACCCCTCACTCTTCACACCCTATAGTTATTTGTAGACATGCGTAGGGATGCCACTCAATGGTGTGCAATCGCAACCAAGCTTTGTAGTTAATTAACTCAGCATTTTGAAAGACTATACACTACAGTATGATGCTTGTAATTTGCCCTTTTTATCAATACAGACCAGAGCTAAATGTATGGGGAAAATACGTATTATGCTTACTAAGTTAATGTGTGAATACATTTTTTGTTATCAGGTTGACATTAATAATGTAGGTTTTGGTAGTCTGAAGTAATCTGAAGTGGCAGAGGTCTATTAGAGATACAGTTCCAAAGTTCGATCCTAAAAAATTACTTTTACAGGCGGAGTGAGTGACAGAGATTGAGAGAGAGTGATTGAGTGTTCTGTCGGTGAGTGAAACATCTTGTTCTCACTTCCTATTTGTTTTCTCTCTGTTCAGGTATTGGCAACTCTATGTTCTCCCATGGCAACCTGAGCCGGGCCTTGGAGATGAAGACTCCTCCCCCTTTGAACCTGGGCAGTGAGAACCGGCGGACAGAGAGCCAACCTGGCATGGGTGGCACACGTGCCAACTTTAACAGTTCTGTAAGTATCTCTTAAATCCTACTTCTCAGTCATAACGCGAGGTTAGCATGAGGTACTGCAGTACTGCAGGCTATATAGTTCCACTACCACTCATGGTCATTATGAAGGACCAATCAAAGAGCAGGGTTATGACGATGTCATTATGATGAACCAATCAGAGAGCAGGGTTATGACGATGATATTACAAAGGGACCAATCAGAGATTAGGGTTATGACAATGTTATTACGAAATACCCAATCAGAGAGCAGGGCTATGACGATGTCATTATGATGGACCAATCAGAGAGCAGGGTCATAACAATTTCATTATAATAATGTCATTATGAAGGACCAATCAGAGGACAGGGTTATGACAATGTCATTACAAAGGGACCAATCAGAGAGCAGGATTATGACGATGCCATTACGAAAGGACAATCAGAGGACCAACCACACTCACACTTGTACTCAGTCTCACTCTCATTGTATTGTTTTGTAAATAGCTTTTTAACAGTGATAATGAAGAGATTAGGCATATTTACTTTGGATGGTGCCCACATTGACCGTGTCCACGCTTATAAATATCTGGGCATTTGGATAGACGGAAAGCTATCTTTTAAAAAGCATATTGATGAGTTAGTTAAGAAGTAGAGAATTAAAATGGGCTTCTTCTATAGGAATATGTCATGCATCTCGTTAAATAGCAGAAAGCAGGTCATTCAGTCAACGTTCCTACCGGTTTTAGACTATGGCGACATCATCTATATGAATGCAGCTGACACTATATTAAAGCCGTTAGATGCAGTTTATCATAGCGCACTGCGCTTTATTACAGGCGACAGGTTCAGTACACATCACTGAATTCTTTACCAAAAAGTAGGCTGGCCCTCTTTGAAGTTGTGGAGGTCAATTTATTGCTCTCTTTTTATTTATAAAGCTCTCTTACAAAAACGTCCCCCGTACCTAACATCATTAATAACCTTTAGAGGTATGAGTTACCATACACAGTCTCAGGGATGGCTATCTGGAGATCCCTTCGGTCTCTTGGGCAGTTCAAATAGTTAATTGGGGACATCTTTGCTGAGGAATGTGATTGTTTCTCTTGAGTGTGTTTTTTTGTTGTAATCTTGTATATTTGTATTATGTGGTATTTGTAAAGTGTGTATTTGTAGGGCTCCCTTATAAAAGAGACCTTGGTCTCAATGGGACTCCCTGCTAAGATATAGAAAAAAGAACTCTCTCCATGTAATGTTCAGAGAGGCCTACTGTACCCGGGCATGCACCCAGGGAACCACATGCTGGCCATGGGGAAGGCAGGTCTGCTGAGCCATAGTCTGGGGGGCTACGGCCTCGCCTCTGCTGGACCATCTGGTAAGACTACATCTCTGCTCCTCTTAAATCTTCACCTGCTTCTTAGTTAGTGATATACAATAATTCTCCTCTTCCCTCCCAGACTACAGCCACCCAGGTTTCTCCCATGCTGTGAGTCTACAGCGTGGGACAGTGAACCCCTGGCAGACAGCACAACCGCAGGAGCATCATGTACCTCACCTCAGCCAAGTGTAAGTCCACTGATATACGCCTTACTCAATTACTCAGTGTTGAACTTTGCACAACGATGGACCTGATAGTGTTGTGAAGTGTCTTCTAGTGGCCTCTATAGGAAAAATAGCATGTGAGGATTCATTTCATACTCTATATCATACATATACCATTCTCTTTTCTCTGTCCACTTGCTGTGTACCGGGATGTCCAGCGGAGGGTGCTCTTTCCCTTCTCAGTCCTCCACCCCCACCCCTCCTCCTCACCCCTCCATCAACCTCAGCATCAAATCGGAGCGCTCCTCCCCGGAGCACATCTGCTCCCCGACCTCTCCACCCCTGCACCACTTGAGGCAGCACTCTCCAATGAGCACCCCCAATTCCGCTCGCCACACCCCCCATGAGCCCTACCCAGCCAATGAGAGAGAGGGTTTCCCCAAAGGAGGTGTTCCCTACCCGGCTCAGCACGGGGCAGAGGAGAAAGGGGGGCTGCCCCTGAGGCAATTAGAAATCAGCGATGGATGGCAGAGATAGCTGGCAGCGACTACCACACACAAAAAGCCTGCCACATGGTTTCCCACACACAGAGAGAGGAGAATGGGGAGATGGGGTTCACTCGTTCACATCATCCCAGAGGAAAGAAAGACCACCCTTAGAGCTGGGCTGAACTATCCATTGTGGGCAATGAGCATGTGGCACTGCCTCTCTGATCTCGATACAGTGAGGAGATAGAGTGGTTTGTTGTCGTTGGGTTTGGTTGGTTTGTCTGTGTGTTGATTCAGAGGGGTGTCAAACCACACATCAATGTGGTTCTCTCCTCCTGCTTGAGCTACAGCCCAGTGCAGAGGGTGAGAGCATCAGTCATTTAGCCATGTAGCTTAGAGCACAGTGTTTCAGAGTAATACTTCACATTCAGGTCCCCAGTTACTGTACATATATAACTTTAATGCTTAGTTTAGCCTTCAGCCCAAAATCAATGAAGTGGTCAGCTCACAGGAGACCAATTAGGGAGCAGCAAGGTTCTACTCATCTATCATGGTCCCAATGGGCAGGGCCTCGTGATAGTGAGTGGGAAGTTGATCACAGAAAAACAAAAATGTAATCTGCACTTTTTTAAGTCTCTCTCAGGGATTTAGATAATTGGTTCCATTGTAAAGGTTTAGTGTTGCTTTTTAAGACTAAAATAATACTGAGCAAAGCTGTTTGTTTTTACACTATATACTGCATAGTTTAATTATTTCTTTTTGGACACTGGCCTTACTAATGCAAAATGCTGTCATCAATTTAAGACCAAAGGATATGTAATGTGTTTATTTCCTTAAATATGAATATTGTGTTCAATTTAATTATTTGTAAAGCAATATTCAAAATAAGCCAAAGTTTAGCATCTAATGTATTTCTAGAAATTTCTGAAAGCATGTAAGAATCATCCATTAGTAGTAATCATTTTACATCTTCAACCTATTCCCGCTTGTGAACAATTAAGGTCCATATTCAGTCTAACCATTTAATAAAGTTTAGCTTTAGTTTGTTTAAATACATTTAAAAGCTCTGGGCCGGACTACCGTACTGTCATTTTGTAGCTCATCTTATGCTATTGTACACTTTTTGCCATGAGGCTGAAAGAGAATTGTGCAGTTTTCAAGCAAATCTCCTGCAATTCTACACATTTTGCTATCATGTGCTAACTGTGGGGGAGCCCAACCTCCAGGTGGCCGCCAACCCCTGCATGGCCGTTTGGTAATCCAGCCCTGCAAAAGCTATTTATTCATGTGTGAAAAAGGAACAATTTGATTAATTGTCAGTGGGGCAATGGGAATAAGGTATGTTGAGAATCAGACACCTATCAAAGAAGCTGCATAAATTAACTTTTGTCTATGAAAAAACATTAAGACACGTTTTATTGCTTGTGTGAGTTTGTGTTTTTGATTATTATTATTTTTATGATTTGTGTGTTTTATGCACTGGATTTTTGGTGTGTTGAATTGTTTCATTTATCCATTTTGTGTTTTAAAAGTCTGCAAAAAGTATAATGTAAAATGATCTTGTATCCATTTTGTTTCTCCTTGTGGGTTTCTGTGTACGTTGAAGTGAACTCCTTTGTCCACAAGAGGGCAACATATTTCATACTCACTCTGGAGGCAAGACATAATGTAGGAAGAATCAGCCATTACTAGTGGTCGTTAATTATCAGATTTTCCATGACAAAAGTGACAGGTTCAAGCAGTGCACTGTGATGGTATTATGATAAAACTGCATCATTAGTGTCTTGAAGACATACACATAGAGGGTATATGGGCACTTCCAGTTCTGGTTGACAACATGAAATTACTGCCAGGATTAATTTGTATACAGTGGGGGAAAAAAGTATTTAGTGTAGCCACCAATTGTGCAAGTTCTCCCACTTAAAAAGATGAGAGAGGCCTGTAATTTTCATCATAGGTACACGTCAACTATGACAGACAAATTGAGGAAAAAAAATCCAGAAAATCACATTGTAGGATTTTTAATGAATTTATTTGCAAATTATGGTGGAAAATAAGTATTTGGTCACCTACAAACAAGCAAGATTTCTGGCTCTCACAGACCTGTAACAACTTCTTTAAGAGGCTCCTCTGTCCTCCACTCGTTACCTGTATTAATGGCACCTGTTTGAACTTGTTATCAGTATAAAAGACACCTGTCCACAACCTCAAACAGTCACACTCCAAACTCCACTATGGCCAAGACCAAAGAGCTGTCAAAGGACACCAGAAACAAAATTGTAGACCTGCACCAGGCTGGGAAGACTGAATCTGCAATAGGTAAGCAGCTTGGTTTGAAGAAACCAACTGTGGGAGCAATTATTAGGAAATGGAAGACATACAAGACCACTGATAATCTCCCTCGATCTGGGGCTCCACGCAAGATCTCACCCCGTGGGGTCAAAATGATCACAAGAACGGTGAGCAAAAATCCCAGAACCACACGGGGGACCTAGTGAATGACCTGCAGAGAGCTGGGACCAAAGTAACAAAGCCTACCATCAGTAACACACTACGCCGCCAGGGACTCAAATCCTGCAGTGCCAGACGTGTCCCCCTCCTTAAGCCAGTACATGTCCAGGCCCGTCTGAAGTTTGCTAGAGTGCATTTGGATGATCCAGAAGAGGATTGGGAGAATGTCATATGGTCAGATGAAACCAAAATAGAACTTTTTGGTAAGAACTCAACTCGTCGTGTTTGGAAGACAAAGAATGCTGAGTTGCATCCAAAGAACACCATACCTACTGTGAAGCATGGGGGTGGAAACATCATGCTTTGGGGCTGTTTTTCTGCAAAGGGACCAGGACGACTGATCCGTGTAAAGGAAAGAATGAATGGGGCCATGTATCGTGAGATTTTGAGTGAAAACCTCCTTCCATCAGCAAGGGCATTGAAGATGAAACGTGGCTGGGTCTTTCAGCATGACAATGATCCCAAACACACCGCCCGGGCAACGAAGGAGTGGCTTCGTAAGAAGCATTTCAAGGTCCTGGAGTGGCCTAGCCAGTCTCCAGATCTCAACCCCATAGAAAATCTTTGGAGGGAGTTGAAAGTCCGTGTTGCCCAGCGACAGCCCCAAAACATCACTGCTCTAGAGGAGATCTGCATGGAGGAATGGGCCAAAATACCAGCAACAGTGTGTGAAAACCTTGTGAAGACTTACAGAAAACGTTTGACCTGTGTCATTGCCAACAAAGGGTATATAACAAAGTATTGAGAAACTTTTGTTATTGACCAAATACTTATTTTCCACCATAATTTGCAAATAAATTCATTAAAAATCATACAATGTGATTTTCTGGATTTTTTTTTCTCATTTTGTCTGTCATAGTTGACGTGTACCTATGATGAAAATTACAGGCCTCTCTCATCTTTTTAAGTGGGAGAACTTGCACGATTGGTGGCTGACTAAATACTTTTTCCCCCCACTGTATATGTGTCCATATTGACACACTACACTGAACAAAAATAAAAACGCAACAAGTAAAGTGTTGGTCCCATGTTTCATGAGCTGAAATAAAAGATGCCAGAAATGTCCCATACGCACAAAAAGCGTATTTCTCTCAAATGTTGTGCATCCCTGTTCGTGAGCATTTCTCCTTTGCCAAGATAATCCATCCACCTGACAAGTGTGGCATATCAAGAAGCTGATTAAACAGCATGATCATTACACAGGTGCACCTTGTGCTGGGGACCAAAATGTGCAGTTTTGTTACAGAACACAATGCCACAGATGTCTCAAGTTTTGAGGGAGCGTGCAATTGGCATGCTGACTGCAGGAATGTCCAGCAAGGCTGTTGCCAGAGAATTGAATGTTAATTTCTCTACCATAAGCCACCTCCAAAGTCATTTTATAGAATTTGGCAGTACGTCCAACCGGCTTCACAACCGCAGACCACGTGATCACGCCAGCCCAGGACCTCCACATCTGGCTTCTTCACCTGCGGAATCGTCTGAGACCAGCCACCCGGATAGCTGATGAAACTGTGGGTTTGCACAACCGAAGAATTTCTGCACAAACTGTAAGAAACCATCTCAGGGAAGCTCATCTGCGTGCTCGTCGTCCTCACTAGGGTCTTGGCCTGACTGCAGTTCGGCATCTTAACCGACTTCAGTGGCAAATGCTCACCTTCGATGGCCACTGGCACACTGGAGAAGTGTGCTCTCCACGGATTAATCCTGGTTTCAACTGTACCGGGCAGATGGCAGACAGCGTTTATTGCATTGTGTGGGCGAGCTGTTTGCTGATGTCAACGTTGTAAACAGAGTGCCCTATGGTGGCAGTGGGGTTATTGTATGGGCAGGCATAATCTATGGACAACGAACACAATTGCTTTTTATCTATGGCAATTTGAATGCACAGAGATACCATGACGAGATCCTGAGGCCCATTGTCATGCCCTTCATCTGCCATTCCTCATGTTTCAGCATGGTAATGCACGGCCCCACGGGTCTGTACACAATTCCTGGAAGCTGAAAATGTCCCAGTTCTTCCATGGTCTTCATTCTCACCAGACGTCACCCATTGAGCATGTTTGGGATGCTCTGGATCGACATGTACGACAGCGTGTTCTAGTTCCCGCCAATATCCAGCAACTTCGCACAGCCATTGGAGAGGAGTGGGACAACATTCCACAGGCCACAATCAACAGCCTGATCAACTCTATGCGAAGGAGATGTGTTGCGCTGCATGAGGCAAATGGTGATCCCACCAGATACTGACTGGTTTTCTGATCCACGCCCCTACCTTTTCTTTAAGGTATATCTGTGACCAAGAGATGTATATCTGTATTCCCAGTCATGTGAAATCCATAGATTAGGGCCTAATTTATTTATTTCAATTGACTGATTTCCTTATATGAACTGTAACTCAGTAGAATCTTTGAAATTGTTGCATGTTCCATTTATATTTTTGTTCAGTATATTTCAACTGTGGATACATGAAAAACATTATTTTCGCATACATTCACATTTGACATATTTTCTAAGCATTTGTCAGTAAAAACCACA